TTGTACAAACATAAGAAATTATTTGATACAATCTTTTACTAAATAAGATAGTATGGACTCTCTAATGTTTTAGAATGCATATAACCCTAGAATCCATGTGCTAAATTCCCTGGCCAAAAGGTCTTTAATTTCGCATGTCAGGCTTGTGGGGGAAACCAAAGAAAAAATTTATAGGACTAGGAAAGGTGAGAGAAATGCAAAGATATAACAACATATGTGTGACGTTGTATTTCTTAAAATGATACCTAGAACCTTGTTAGAACAAGCCGAGTTTTAGACATTGCTGCCGGGATTCAAATGTAGGTATTAAAATCATATCTGCTAGATCTTTTTTTATGCTAGGCCTTCAAATCATAGAATTTCAATTTGTCAAAAGTAGCTGTTGAAAAGTATTAGTAGTTTCTGTTGATTACCCTTTAATATAAACCAAGTCTCAGACCACTGTGAAAAAGCTGGCCTGGTAATTTTTAAATAAGAACACAAGGTTCTGTCCCTAACCCATCAGTAAATTTTAAGACTAATCAGAAAAGTAGCTGGGGGACTTGCCTCCTTAGAAATTTCCTCTGTAAGAACTTCTCGGAATGTATCCCTGTCTCCTGCATGTGCACATGTGTACGTACACACACACACACATCCACACAACCGCTCATTGATCCCTCTTCCATTACTCTCATTATTGTAGTTTATGTGTTAACGAATAGCATGGCAATTATCAGAAAGTATGGTCGGCATCTGTTCACATGTCTGCCTCTTCACTGAGTTGTAGGCTCCTTAATGGAAAGAACATTCCTTTTTCCAACCCTAATGCCTAGGAGAGTCCCTGGCACAAAGTTAAGATCCCAAGAAATTTGGCTGAATGAGTGGGTTGCTCAGATTTCCAAATGGCACACATTTCTTCCCCTGCAGAGGGCAGGACTGTATTTTTCCCCACGACTTTGTGGTGACTAAGTGACTCCCTATAACTGGACCGTGAGCACGGGCTTCAAAATGTGCACAAGAATTAGTATGCATGGCCGTCATCGGTTCTAACATTGCCCTAAGGCTTTCATCAGGTGGTTAATCTTTCATAGGAACTGCTTTGAGAGGGATGAGCCAAAGTCTCAGCTTCATTGGAAGTAATTTTGCTTTTCACTGGCAGTTGGAAGCCAGGCGACTGGAGCGTGTGCAGCAAGCCATGTGCGGGGGGCCAGCAGAGCCGGAAAATCCAGTGTGTGCAGAAGAAGCCCTTCCAGAAGGAGGCGGCGGTGGTGCACTCCCTCTGCCCAGTGAGCACACCCACTCAGGTCCAGGTCTGCAACAGCCACGCCTGCCCCCCAGAGTGGAGCCTCGGGCCCTGGTCTCAGGTAACTGGGTCAGACTTAGAGCCGTTGGTCTTGTTCCCCATGGAAAATGAAGGTGACAAAAACATAGGTGGTACCTTTGCTGCCCAAGAGACTCTCAGGTGTTTACACCTTCAAGAGAACCACACTGACTTAATGCAACGGGGCATTTTCATTAACGTTTTCAGTGATTTTTTATGCAACCTGCAGTTTGGGACCCTTAGACGTCCAGAAATTAGAGGACGTTTAGGCTAGACTAGTGAGCACAGCTTGACAGGATTCGAGTGTCAGAGGAATGGCCGGTGAATCTGGCTACTGAATTCCCCGAAGCAAATGGGAAAGACAAATACAGAGAGAGCGGCCTAAAGGGATATCTAACTCTTGCGTCAGTGGCCTACAGAGAGGAGTTGTGCCTAACAGTTGCTATTGTCACAAATTCCCAGTGAGAGATACAAGGTTATAAAGTTGGAGGAAGCATAGAACTACCTGTCATCCACACAGCGGTTCTCAACTGGGGCCCTGATGTTAATAACAGGAGACATTTTCTATTGTTACAATGAGGACAATGGGGAGGGGGCATGGGTGAGATACACATCCTACAGTGGGCGGGACAGCTCCCCAAATGGTGCTGAGGACGGGGGGAACTCTGCTCTGTAAAAACCCAGCCTCTGCTAAACCACAGCTGGCAAGACAGTTTTAGGCAATAATAAAAAAAAAAAACCAGGGGTTTTCTTGCCTGAACTAGGAAGCCAGGGAGCAGCCCACATTCCTGCCATGCTCTCTTAGGACACACAATATCGTGGAGGGTGTTGATTTCGGATCAAGTTTAACAGTGCACTACCCTGTCCCCAACAGAGGTCAGAGTGAGGGTTTGTGTATTTAATGAGAAGACATGATGGAAAATGTTTTCTAATGTTGGGAGTATATCTCTTAGGGGGAGAATGTGTGAGCATGCGTAGATGTACTTTTAAAATGAGGGTGTACGTTCATCTACCGCTTAGGGCAAATCTAAGTAGTATGTGGTGCTGTCCGGCCTCTCTCTGCCATTGGTAGTTATCATTTACAGAAGGAGAATTCAGAGGGCTGTTTCGGCGCCGTGTGTAGGGTGGGCATGGATAAAGGACATGGAGTTCTTCACGGAAAGGAGCCTTAGTTCATGGAGTTTGCCCCAGATTTCACACGGAAATATTTTGGGAGAGTATTTTATTTCTCTTTCCTGACTACTAAAACCAACTATGTCTGAGAACTTGAAAGTCATTTGAAACCAGCATGCCAACAGCATTTTTCTTTTCACCTCAAGTGTTCCAAGACCTGTGGGCGCGGGGTGAGGAAGCGGGCAGTGCTGTGCAAAAGTGCCTCCAGGACCGAGGGCCTCCCCGAGAGCCTGTGCGCCGGCATCCCCAGACCAGAGTCGCAGGAGGGCTGTGTCCTGGGGCGATGCCCCAAAAACACCCGGCTACAGTGGGCCGTCTCCTCGTGGAGCGAGGTAGGACTTTCTATCACTGCTGCGTCTGGGTTTGGTTTGTTTTAATGCTCAGCGTATCCACCAGCATCCGGATGCTCAAAGCTTCTTTCTATTCAACAACATCTACCAGGTACCTTCCAATTATTCATTCTTCCCATCTGATTTCTTCATCAGATGTTGATTAAGCACCCATCATGGTGTTGGGGCAGTGGAGGTACAAAACCCCATAAAGTGTTGGAATGGAAACATGGCAACACTGGGGATGCAAAGTGCTGTGACGGGGGTTGGCCCTCCCGTGGGACAGCCTAGCTCAGGGGTGGGCAAACTTTTTGACTCGAGGGCCACAATGGGTTCTTAAACTGGACCGGAGGGCCGGAACAAAAGCATGGATGGAGTGTTTGTGTGAACTAATATAAATTCAAAGTAAACATCATTACATAAAAGGGTACGGTCTTTTTTTTTTTTTTAGTTTTATTCATTTCAAAAGGGGCTGATCCGGCGGGCCGTAGTTTGCCCACGGCTGGCCTAGCTCCACTCAGCCCAACATCAGAAGGAATCCTTGTCAGAAGAGAGTTTGCAGGGAGTGTGAGCCTGAAAGATGGGCAGGAATCAGGAGGGCCGGGGAGGAGGCCGCTCCACGCAGAGCGGTTCCCAGAACACACTTGGTAAGGATGGAGCCGTGTGTGCTGGAGCTGCAGACATCGGGGATTGAGGGCCTCAGGGAACAGACTGAAAATCTACCCTTTAAACATTGGGGGCCAATTAAAATGTTAAAGAAGAAGAACAAGCAGGTTTTCATTTCAGAGAGAAGGGGATTCAATGCAAATGGGCCGAGGCCAGAGAGGCGCTTGCATGGGCATCAGCGTAATAAAGACAAAAGGGGAACGTGTCTCAGGGAGAGAGAAGTGGTACCTTTGAGAGTTCCTAGAGAGGCCACTGGTCCCTTCAGGAGTATGTGGGCAAGAAGAAGATGCCTCCTCGGCTTGGGCACCTCAGTGGAGTTCACAGACACAGGAATCCTGAGGGAAGGAGCCAAGCCAGAGAGTGGTCGGCAAACTGCAGCTCAGCAAACCACGGCTCACGAGCCAAATGTGGCTCTTTGGCCCCTTGAGTGTGGCTCTTCCACAAAATACCGACTTCTGTGCATGGGCCACGAAGTTTCAATCGCACTGTACATGCGTGCCCGCACATGGTATTTTGTGGAAGAGCCACACTGAAGGGGCCAAAGAGCCGCAAGTGGCTCGCGAGCCGCGGTTTGCCAACCGCGGGCCTAGGAGACAGGTGTCTGCTCGCAGTTCAGTCTGGTGAGGTCCAATACAGGAGGGGTTTCTATGGCAACAGCTCCAGTTCTTGTCCATCAATGCCCTTCTACTCCGCCTCAAGGATAAGTGTAGAGCAGTGTGTCCATCTCTCCTTTCCTCGCTCATTTTCTTTGAGAAACATTAAAACCCTAATTCCATGCTTGGGCTTGCCCCTCCCTCTCAGAGCTGTTGTATGAGCTCAGTGCCATCCTTTATTGTCTGACTGGTACACTGATGCCAGTGCTTACTTATTCATCAAGGCCCTACACTTTATCCCGTAATACTTGAAACACAAACACGTTTTCCCACACTGATTTCATCAGTCTCCATCCTTCTCTCTTTTTCCTGCGGCAGACATCATCAGGTTATATCTCGGCCTCGAGGGGCAGGGTAAAAAGATAGGTGTTCTTCCCCTCGGGAGCTTTCAACTCTCATCTTTGTGCCCAGCCTCCTTGACACAGACTCCCGAATCCTTAGGCCTCAGGTAGACCTGGACATCCAAACGAACATCAGCCAGAGACCCTGACTCCATCCCTTGCCACCTCATCTTTGGACTCTGCCGCACTCACATCCGTGGGGCGATGCCTCATTTTGGTTTGTTGGTGCTGATGAGCCCTGTGACTGGTTTTCTCACCTGTAGCACGAGGGACTTGGTGCCATATTTGTGGGATCCTTGCGTGCGTGTGGCTGACCTGCCATCACCCAACCCCTCTAACTTCACGTGGATGGCACGTCCTCAGGCAGGGACACACCTGCTCGGCAGACCTGACGAGAGCTCTGCACGCTAATGCCTCCTTTCTTGGCTCCTAGTGCTCGGCGACCTGTGGGCTGGGGGTGAGGAAGAGGGAAATGAAGTGCAGCGAGAAGGCCTTCCAGGGGAAGCTGATAACTTTCCCAGAGCGAAGGTGCCGCAACATTAAGAAACCAAACCTGAATTTGGAGGAAGCCTGTGACCGAGGGGCCTGTCCAGTGCGTCCTGTGTACAATGTGGCAGCTGGATGGTATTCATCGCCATGGCAACAGGTGAGTGCCCCCAGATGTACGAGGATTGTATTTAAGTGAGATTCAAAAAGAGGAGGCAGTCCACCAAGGGCTGCTGGTAGAAACCTGTCCGCATGTCAGGAACAAAGGGCTTCACCACCTGTGTGGCCTGGGAAGGTTACGTAATCTGGAAGCCTCTGTTTTCACATCTAAAAAAAAACAGAGGATAATATCTTGCAAGGTTTGATGATTTTTTTTTTTACACAAATAAGATAATATAAATCACTTAGTACCCGGCTTGTCACACAATGCCAGCAATTGCTATTAAATCCACCATTAGTGTCTTCTATATTCTAGAAACGCCCGTCACGGTCTTGACTCATTTGGTTCTTGTGTCATGTTTCCAAATAATATAATAATAGCTAACATTTGTCAAACCCTTGCTATTCACGATGCTAAATGTTTTACATGCATTTGCTACTTTCTCACTCTCACTGCATCCTTTCAATGGTCTTATTGTGGTTGCTGTTTTGTGGATGAGGCAGGTAAAGCTCAGAGGTGAGCACTTCAGCCCTAGACCCCCAGCTCTTTTAGCTCAGCAGATGTCAGTGCCACCCTCTTTCTCAGAAGACTTCAATGAAGGTTTGGTGACTTTGGTTCTTTTTTTCTTTTTTTAAAATATATTTTTATTGATTTCAGAGAGGAAGGGAGAGAGAGAGGAACATTAATGATGAGAAGGAATCATTGATTGGCTGCCTCCTGCACACCCCCTACTGGGGATCAAGCCCACAACCCATGACCCTTCAGACCACAGGCCGACACTGTCCACTGAGCCAAACCAGCTAGGGCCGTGGTCGGCAAACCGCGGCTCGCAAGCCACATGCGTCTCTTTGGCCCCTTCAGTGTGGCTCTTCCACAAAATACCACGTGCGGGCGCACACGTACAGTACGACTGAAACTTTGTGGCCCATGTGCAGAAGTCGGTATTTTGTGGAAGAGCCACACTCAAGGGGCCAAAGAGCTGCATGTGGCTCGCAAGCCACGGTTTGCCGAGCCGCAGCTTGCCGACCACTGATAGGGTGATCACTTTGGTTCTTATTGGTAGGAGGAGGTGATGCAAAGTTTGAGAGAACACTGTGTTTTGGTCCTTGTGGTGCACAGCTCTTCGAAGAGCTTGTTGGCTTGAGAGGTGCTGCCCATACCTCATCATGAAACAAGTAGTATGTCTGTGTATCTATGTTTATATACACGCATGTACATGTATGTATTCAGTTGACCCTTGAACAAGACGGGTTTGAATTGTGCAGGTCCACTTATACAAGGATTTTTTTTTTTCAATAAATACTATAAGTGTATTTTCTCTAGCTGGCTTTATTGGAGTATACAGTATATCATACAAATAACACAAAGTATGTGTTAATCAACTATGTTATCAATAAGGCTTCTGGTCAACAGTTACCTATTTAAGAAATTAAGTTTTAGGAGAATCCAAATTATATGCAGATTTTCAACTGCACAGATAGGTGATACCCCTAACCCAAGTTGTTCAAGAGTCAACTGTGTATATATGTGTGTGTTTGGGAAGTAAAACATGGAGGAAATTAAATTAGCATGATTTTATATCTCTAATTGGCTAGGTGCTATACCTATGTCGTTACCTATGTACTAAATGCAATGCCTATTGCTATGGATTGTTTTTATCATTATTTTACAGATTTGGAGATTGATTCTTATAAGATTATTTCAGTCAGTAAAGAACTGCCAGCCTAAAACATCTACTATCTTCACAGGGAAGTTTGCATACTCCTGGTTTAGATCAGCAGTTGCCAACCTTTTGGACCTCATGGACCATCAGTTGGCGACCGCTGGTTTAGATGAAATAACGATTATACAACTATATTTGAATTTGGAGCTAATTACAAACTCATACTTTTTCCACCAGAATTTATTTTTCCTAAATACCAGTCTATATAGTGATGACTGTCCAAGATTAAGTTTCACCTGTCTGCAATTTTAAAAAGCAGAAACAAAAAATAATTTAAAGGGATGTCTTTTTCCCTGATAATATTTTGTTTATTCTTTTGTTATGAAATATCTGTTATGTTGTTCAGACACATGAAAATTTAAGAATGCTAACAGTCCTTGTTAGACTTTCAAAAAAATAGATGACTAATTAGACAGTAACAGCACTGACTTCTGGGAAGCACCCTATCCGCCATGCTAACCAGGAATCTGGCTGGGCACCCAAAGCCTTTCGTTTGCTGCCCTAGTTTCGAACCATTCCCTCCACGATTGCATCTGCAGAGATTATTTGGAATTCCTAAGCTACGGGGATTAATGGCCTAGATGTGTCTGTATTTGTTTCCACATTCTTACGGCAGCTTTTGGATTTCTGGAAGGTCTCTTCTTTATGAGTCACCTACCTGGAGACACACTGTTGGGTGAGATAGCATTAGCCTACGACCCTTCTAATCAGATCCACTGGCTCCCACGTTAGAAAGACTAGACGGCAAGCACATGTACCTGGCTCTGGACGATTTATCAGCAGGCACCTTGGTCATGTCATGAAGCCTGGAGACCCTTTCTTTGATGTCACTGACATTAAATGGATCCCATCCCGCTGAGTGTTTCTGATGCTTCCCTCTTCTGCAGTGCACGGTGACCTGTGGGGGAGGGGTCCAGACCCGATCCGTCCACTGTGTGCAGCAGGGCCGGCCTTCCTCAAGCTGCCTGCTCCGACAGAAACCTCCGGTGACACGCGCCTGTAATACGAACTTCTGCCCAGCTCCTGAAAAGAGAGGTAAAAGGGACCCCACAGTCCAGTCAGTTTTACTGGTCTCCAGAGAATGCTTCAAAATGCCATCAGATCAGGTTGTGCAGCTTGTACATTCCACACCTCTAGGGGATGCCATTCACATCCAAGTCCATGTGAACAGCACTCCTTGGAGGTGTACAAGGCACAAATCCAGGCAGTTCCCATTCAACATGATCTCATGTGCAGGAAGATTTTGTGCTATGATAAGACTTTATAGGCATTAATTCTTTGCAAGGGAGAAATGGTAATCTTGCAAGTCCATTTTTTCTAAACTAAATTTTAATTGCGCAAACACATGAAAAAGTAAACGCTGTGTGCCAGAGATTGTATGATCAATGGTAATGCAAGAGTGAACAAGAATTCCCCTCAAGGAGCTCACATTTTAATTGAGAAGACAGTTACATTACAGTCCAGTACAGGGACTATGTATTGTCCTAGGATGACAGCTGACATGTTTTCTTATTTCAGATGAAGTGCATGTGTGCTGATGGGAAACCATTCCTCACCAGTGCAATTTATTTCAAAGTGATCTGACGAACACCATGAAATATTTTTCAGCCTAACCAGATTTTCTTAGTCTCAATTGTGTACCTGCTGAGTTTTCTCTTTATGTAATCACAGTTTTTTCCAAGACTCTCCAGTCTCTTAGCCGACACTTGCCAATTTGTGGTGAATCAGATTCAGGACAGTTACTCACTTCCCAGCTGAATCTACATTGTTGCTTGCTTATCTGCTTCTGAGATAGCCTTAGCTCCAGCATCCCTTTCCCTCCCTCTGCTCCCTCCCCTGTCTTATCTGAGGCTTGGAGGCCAGAAAGCTAGTCCTGTAGCAGTTACTCAGAGCCAGATCACCTCTAGGCAATGCCAGGATTCTACACACCTGCAGCCTTTCTCATCAGAAAGCTTATGAGGGAAAAGTACACACATTTTGAGCATGTGGCCATGTTTTCCGGACCATCTCCTCCTTCCTTCACTATCAGTGATTTCAAATTTCCACCCTTTAGTCAGAAGGCTCCAGACGCAACCACACATGCAAAGATTAGGGGAGATTAGGAGAACCACATCCTGGGGCATGTAGACCAATGTAAGAACTACCTTTTATTCTGAGTGGCTGGGAGCTAAGGGGAGAGTTTGGGGCATAGGTTTTACATAAAATGGCTTACTTTTTTTTAAAGGATCACTATTAGATGGGATGTGTGTTTAAAAGGGAATTTTTTTTTTAGGCAGAACAAATTTAGGTAGTTCTGAATCACAGAAAGATGGGCTACAAATTGGGAGCTTTCTATGTTCTGACAAAAGGCCCAGTGGAGAGCCACTGAAGGGTGAATTCAGAAGGCACATGAGTAGATACCTGTGGGCAGTGTGTGGTTTTGAGTTGCAGGTAAAGGCAAGTTAAGGCTTGCATAGAGGAGGGAAAACTATCCCAGCTGTGAATGAGACTATTTACGGAGGGTAGACCCTAAATATGTCTGAAGTCAAAACTCCTTGAGAATCCAGTAAAACAACTGAGTCCTAACTCCTCAAACATGTGTTTATGTTTACACAAAGAACATCTTACTTACAATTTCATGCACATTCTGTATCTTGTGAGATGCTTCTGGGTAATTCCTGACGTACAATGTCCTGCTTCTAATCAGTAATCATGGCTGTTCTATTTGAACAAAGATGTTAGAAAAGGCTGGTGTTGACTTACATCCATTTGGTTGCAGATTAAATAAATCTCAGAGCCAAGCTTAGAGAGTATTGCAGCTGGGGCTCCATTAGGCTCCTGGTTCCCCAAAGTAACGCATGGACCAGCAGCATGTGTGTTAGAAATATGGAATCCCAGCAGTCACCATAGACCTCTGAATCAGAACCAATGGTTTCACAGGATCCTTAGGTGATTCTGCATGTGCTGTTCTAGATACTTCCCTGGGGTGTAAAATGATACCTCCCAGGTTATTTGGGGAGGATCAGATAATCTCTGGCTAGATATGACTTTTTTCTTAACATCCACTTTCCCCCCACCGGTGTAAATTTTGTTAATGGTCATAGTCCCTTTTGAACTCTTAATGCCACTCTTCCCACCCTCCTATCCAAGTCCTAATGGATAAGAAGAAAAGCCACTCAGAAGCACAAGCAGGTAGATCCAAGGTCGTTAATCTGTAAGCCTTCACCTTAAGACATTGAGCCTTTTCCTAGCATGCTAACTATGTTTTCTCCTTTTAGAGGACCCATCCTGTATAGATTTCTTCAACTGGTGTCATCTAGTTCCTCAACATGGTGTCTGCAACCACAAATTTTATGGCAAACAGTGCTGTAAGTCATGCACAAGGAAGAGCTGATACCTTCCCCAGCACCTTAAGGCCGGGGTCTCACCTTTCAGGCCGAAGCCTCAGCACCTCACGGGTGGTTGGCAGTGTTGAGGGGCCAGCTCTGAAGAATAGTCCGGCTTCTTTTTCACTTCCCCAAAGCACGTGGTACTCTGAAGCACTTGAAAATGGGAAGCGATGACAAATCTGACTCACGAAGAAACAACGTTGATTTGCACTGTTAATCGAAAGAAGTGATGAACCACACTGAGATACGTCAATGTGAGAGCCTGGTCAACTTTGGGACACATCCCCCTTTGAACTTAAAAGGGTTCCATGGCAAAGACATCTGTTTTGAAAGGTCTTTCAAGACTTCAGGTCACAGGCTGAGAGTTGGAGGAATCAAGCATGGACGGAACGTTTACTTGGAGCTCACAGTGTGACTGAAACTGTGGACACCCCCAACCAGGAGTTACACAGAAAGCTAAATGGTGCTCACGACAGTGCTTGCTGCTGGACTGGCAAGCTTCATGTATGTTTATTTAGTGTGAGTGTGTTGTTTTTACGGTTTTGTTTAAAGTATATTCTGCTTATAGAGAGTCTTCAAGACTAAAATTCACAACTTGAAAAGTATTCCAAGGAATATTCAAAAAAACAGGGCAACATGGACTATTTAAGATCTCCATTTAATTAAAATGCACACTCTGAAGAAAAAAAAAAGAGCTCATCAGAAAGGTAAATATTGATGCCCTACACATTATATCAACCTCATAACTTTTGGTGCTAGACAGGATCCTCGAGTCTGCTCTTTGGGAATCCGAATTGGTGAAATGTTCTTTTCTGGTAAAAATCTAGGAGGGGTTAAATAGCAGTGTGTTGAAGGAGAGGAGACCATTATTTGTAATGCTCCCTACTTATTATCAGAGCTGCTTGGAAAATTAAAGGCCACTTGTGGTTTTTGCCTACCAACTGACATGTTTAAATCTGCCCTAGGATTTAGTTAACAAGAAAAAAATTCATAGTGGCAATAGAAAAATCCATCTGTCTTCCTGCTACGTTAATATTAATAAATCATACTATGACAAAACTATTCAATGAATAAGTATTTTACAATCTTTCAGATGATATTTTCAGTCTTCAAAAGCCAGCTGTTGGTTGGCACTAATGAGTTTAAAATTGTTCTCAATTGCAAAAACACCATACTATTTTGCCAAAACCAAAGTAACTTACAAGACTGGGTCCTTCTGTAATTTTTTGAGATGTGGTTATAAAAGACGTATTTATATAATTCTACTCCATTCCTCAGTATTTTTGATGAATGTAACCCAACTACTTTTAAAAAGTCTCAATTCAAACAGGGATCTGCCAGCTCAGCACAACCAACTAGACAGTGGTTTATAAATTTAGATCATCCTTTGTTCCCATTCTAATTAAAATCATGCATTCTCGAATCTCAGAGAGATGATTAGATATTTTCTCAACTCTCTGGGCCTAGAATAGTGGTCATTTTATCATAAAAAAATAGTTCTACATCACCACCCTCTGAAAATTACAAGTTACCTGTTTTTTATATAATTATCATTTTATTTTATGGAAAAATTAATTTATTAATTAATAGCCTATTGTTGTGTTCTCACTTGCTTCTCTGAGTGATATTAATTCTGAGGAAAAGTGTTGACTAAAACCATGGGTTATAGAGAAAAGTCAAAATATATGTGTAATATTTAATTATTTTATAAGTTTTATAATAAAGTGTTCTGTTTATCTTTGAAACTTGTTAAGTTTTTGAATAAATTAGTGAGAAGTCAGTTATGTCCAAGGTAATTTAACTGTATAAATGTTAATTTTTCAATGAAAAGTTGAGAAATTTTTAGGGGGGGAAGATAAGATATTCATTAATTAACAACTTTTCCTGTTTGTGTATTAGAAAATTAGAAACTGTCAAACAGTGGGATTAAATAGATAACATATTTACCACCTTAGGAATATACTAAATTCTTTTCTATCATAACAGTCATGCAAACATTTATGGAAATCATCTAAGTTAGTTAGATAAACCTATAAATGTAGTTGGTTTTATTTTTTTTTCTAGTTGAAAGTCATTCTGATAAAATTGTTTTGCAATGAGAAAGAGAAAAGGGAGGAAGAAAATAAAACTAAGAGCCCAGAAATAAACCCATGCCTATCTGGTCAATTTATCTATGACCAAGGGAGCAAGATTATACAATGGGGTAAAGACATTCTTTTCAATAAATAGCATTGGGAAAACTGGACAGATACATACCAAGAAAAAAATGAAATGACCACAGTCTCACACCATATAATTCCTAGGAGAAAACATAGGCAGCAAATTCTTTGACTTTACTCTTAGCAATATGTCTCATCAGGTGAAAAATAAGCAAATGGGACTACATCAAACTAAAATGTTTTTGCACAATGAAGGAAACCATCAAGAAAATGAAAAGACAACCTACTAAATGTGAGGAAATACATCCAATGAGGGGTTAATATCCAAAATATATTTAAAAACTCACACAACACCAAAAAAAACCCCAAAATACCACTTGATTAAAAAATGGACAAAGGACCTAGACACTTCTCCAAAGAGGACATTCAGATGGCCAACAGACATATGAAAAGATGCTCAACATCATGAATCATCAGAGAAATGCAAATTAAAACCACAATTAGATATCACCTTAACCTGTCAGAATGACTCATCAATAAATCAATGAACCACAAGTGTTGGCAAGGATATAGAGATGAGGGAACGCTCCTGCACTGTTGCTAGGATTGCAAACTGGTACAGCCACTATGTAAAACAGTATGGAGATTCTCAAAAAGTAAAAAATAGAACTACTATATGATCCAGAAATTCTACTTCTGGGTATTTATCTGAAGAAAGACATATGCACCCATATATTCATTGCAACATTATTTGCAATAGTCAAGATATGGAAGCTACCTAAGTGTCAATCGATAGACAAATGGATAAAGTAGTAGTGCAATGGAATATTAGTAATTGATTATTACTCATAAAAATAATTGATTCTTACTATTTGGGATAACATGGATGGGCCTAGGCAGTGACGGCGAACCTTTTGAGCTCGGTGTGTCAGCATTTTGAAAAACCCTAACTTAACTCTGGTGCCGTGTCACCTATAGAAATGTTTTGATATTTGCAACCATAGTAAAACAAAGACTTATATTTTTGATATTTATTTTATATATTTAAATCCCATTTAAAAAAGAAAAATCAACAAAAAAATGAGTTCCGTGTCACCTCTGACATGCGTGTCATAGGTTTGCCATTACTGGCCTAGGGGGTATTATGCTAAAATGTCACATAGAGAAAGACAAATGCCATATGAGTTCACTTATATGTGGAATCTAAAAAAAATGAACAAACAAAAACAAATGAACAAACAAAAGAAATAAATTCATAGATACAGAGAAAAAATTGATAGCTGCCAGCTGGGAGAGGAGTTAGTAGAATGGGTGAATAAGGTGAAGGGATTAAGAAGTATAAATTGGCAGTTAAATAGTCACAGGGTCATAAAGTACAACATGGAGAATATATGGTCAATAATATTGTAATAAGTATATATGGTGTCAGGTGGGTACTAGGCTTACTGGGGTAATCACTTAGTAAGTTACATAAGTGTCTAATTACTATGTTGTGCAGTTGAAAGTGATAATATTGTATGTCAACTGAAATTGAAAAATAATAAACAATTTTTAAAAGATGAAAGAAGAATAAGAAACCAGAAAGTATAAAGAAACTGCATAGATTCCCTTGACTGGTCTTCCTCAGACCAGAGCCTAAGGGAAAAGCAATGGGCTGTCATTGGAGATGAAGCCCAGAGCTGTGATATCAACCTCAAAAGAAACATTCTCAAGACAAAGAAACAAATCAAAGACCTAGAGTTTCGTTTACAAAATCTAATTCTAAAGGGTGGGCCCTGCCCGTTTCGTTGTAGTGAATTTATTCGACCAGAATTTAGTACTCCACAATCCCCTACCTATAAATTTCTAAAATTTGTACATAACTGTGCCAAGCTCAGGATCATTCTAGGCCATGATTACAAAGTATATATATATATATATATATATATATATATATATATATATATATATATATATATAATCCTTTTTATTGAATACTATACCAAATCTGCGTGTAAGCATCAATTTCCTACCCTAATAAACATTCAAATTCTTTTAAAAAACTAAAATTAAAAAGCATTTTTTTTCAGGCTTTTCAAGTTTTGAATCATCAGACCAGAGGAGAATAAAAACTCTCTGGGCAGTGAATCCAACTGACCTGAATAAAAAGTTTTTTCCCTGCATACATAGAAAGAAAAAAAAATAGATTATATATATATAATTTATGCATATATAACTAAAAATATTTAAGAGGGTTTTTATATGAGTTATTGCTAATTGGCACATATAATAAAATAAATGTGGTTAAGAATGAAAAATGGTATAAATGGCAAAAAAGAGAAAGTATCTTTATACCTTTTGGTAATAAAGTATCACTAATAAAAGTAACCACATATTAGTGTTTAGCAGGTGCCAGGTACTGTGCTAACAAGCCCCGCATATCTGTTGCCTCATTTATCCTCACAACAGCCTAGTTAGGAAGACAGTGCTATCTTCCCACCACAGATGAGAACTCTGGGTTCAGAGATTTGGCCTCAGGGCACATGGTCATCAAGTGATGGGTCAGGATTCCAACCCAGGTCCATTGGACTTAAAAGATTATTCTCTTGTTACTGTGCTGCATTACCCTGAGAAAGACAAAACAAAAAAGGACATGTAGGCCTTAGAACTCTGCATGTGAAAAGAATCTGGTAATAAATGATTTAACAATGAATTATGGGCAGAGCTGCGATGCTATAAGGTGGGGAATTGGGAATGGGGGGTAATAAATTCCCACCTAGCCCGTCTTTTTGATAAAGGATACTTAAAGACTTGTTGTCTTTATCCTCTAATAACTGCTTATCTCTTGGGTAAAAATGTTTCCTGCACAACAGAATCTGAGTCCGGAGCCTGCAACGTCAAGTCCATTAGGAGAGAGGGAGAGCAAGCAAGAGAGAGTGAAGAAATGCGTTTGCTGTGGATTCTATATGCTGACTGGAGGGAAGGATGATGTCACAGCAGCGTGTACCATGCAAAAAAATCCTTTAGGGAATTAACAGCATAGAACCCATTACTGCTAAATGCAATGTAGAA